TGTTGTGCGCAGCAATCACCATCACGCCCATTAGGGCTCAACCAGTCCATGCCTATAATCACCTTGTTCCCACGCAACGGAATGGGAACCAAGTCTACCAGGTAGCGCTCCTCAAATAACCTCAGTACGCAATCTCTGAAAACTGCTGATGCTCGCACCGATCGGTCATCGGCAATCTCTACCTCTAAAGGGCAATCCAACATGCCCGAAGACTCAGGAAACCTCTTGCTAAGTGCAAGGGAAACAAAATCGAGTGGCACCTGAGTCAAACAACACCTGTACTGGGATACCGTTCACATGGAACGATCCTAAACGTATACACAGAGCCATATCAATATCATAAGCATCAAATAAATAAATCAGAGGGAAAGAATCATACCCGTCACCACATCGGGTGGGCGCGTGCCTCCTCGTTAGTCAATTGAAGGCCCGGCTCCTCACTCACCCGCCTCCTCACTCACTCGCCTCTGTTGCCCTGCCGGCCATCAGTGATCCGCAGGGTCGCTGGGCTGGCGCCTTCACTGCACTGCGCTGCTGCTGTCAACTGGGGCAATTGGCCTTCTATGGGCCCTCTGGTTGCAGTGGAAACACAACAACTCGGACGTCTGAATAGTGGGTGCAGGGGCGGTACAATCCCTGCTGAAATGCCCCGTCTTGCCGCACTTGTAGCAGCCCGACGATCCCAACCTACATGCCCCCCTCGTGTGGCCTGCCGCATTTCCTGCAGCGGCCCTGTCCTGACTGGCCTTTCGGCCTACCATCTGATCCCTTGGGCTTCTTCCCCGAAGCCCCAGTCACCTGCCCCTCCTCTACCTTCCTCTTCCGGATGTGCTCCAGATCAATCTCCCTCTCCCTTGCCCTGGCAATCATGGAATCCAGGGTAGGGCAAGCTGAAAAACTAACATGCTCCCGAATGTCGCTCGCAACATGTCATGGTAGCGGGTCCTCCTCATGTCCTCATCTCCCGCATACTGGGGCACCAGTAACCCCCTCTCCCGGAACTTGGCGGTGATCTCCGCCACAGTCTCCGTAGTCTGTCTCATGTCTAAGAACTCCCTATCAACTGCTGGAGCTCCACTGCAGGTGCAACTCAGCCCTGAACCGGGTCACAAAGTCCGGCCACGTCATAGCCTCAACAGCCGAGGCTCCCAGAGAGTCACCAACCGACTCCCACCAATCTCTGGCCCTGTCTCTCAAGCACCCTGCTGCATATCTCACCTTCGACCCCTCGGGGCAGAAGCTGGTCAACTGTGCAGACTCAATGTCCGCAATCCATCCCTGTCTCAATGCATCGCCTGGCCAGTGGGGTCCTTGCCCCATGGAAATCCGGCGCACCGCACTGCCCCTGAAGTCCTTAAAGGACAGTGTGCGTGATCCCGACTGGCTGGTCGCCATGTCGCTCCTGAACGCCCGAGGCGATCTCCATCAGCTCGACAATCCCTCCTTGATCGACCCAAAGATGACCGGGGTCGCATCAAGGATGCCTCTAGTGATCTCGGACGCGATGAACTCGCGTAGCCTCTCATCCACCGGTTCGGAACCTGAACCCGAACCCGATCCCTCTCCTGAGCTGCCAACTGCTGGCCTCGGACGTAGTACCACCATTCTGCAATACATAATGACAACCGTCAGTGATACTGATACATCTAGAGGGATCACATCTATCACAAGTTCCCTGGTCTTGCCTCAGCCTTCCTCGATTCAAGTACGGATCCTCTGCTTTCAGTAGTACGGGCCCATACTACCTTCCACATCTATCCGTACTTTCCTCAAGAACTGCCTTGACTCCACCAAGTCCCTTCTACTACGCTACTGATCTCTGCTACTCTCTTCCTAGGCTTGCCCTAGGGTAATCACCAACCCATTCTCCGCCATCAGCTGCGTAAGAAGTCCCTGCTTTCTTTCCCTAACTAGCTCGCAAATACTATTACATATCACTCTGACTAGATAATTCTTCGAATGAGAGATCTCTACCCTACAACGGTTGGACTCAGACAAGAGCTGCGAATAGAGCTAGACCTAACCTTCTAAATTATTTAGTCCTTGCAATATGTAACTTAACATATTTGTTTACTAGCTAGTGAAAGACAACTAGAACTCCTAAAAGCACAAAGCAAGCAGCATTCGGACATCGAGTGCACATAAGCAAGCATATACTACTCAGGCTATCCTCCTGACTAATCTGTACTAGCATGCAGTTCTCATAAGCTGAAACACATATAGCAGGCACATAAGGCATCCTCCTAGATCCTTAGCCCTAATCTAGCATGCTGTTCTACTACTAAACTGATAATCATAACATAAACTTGTATGGGTAATTTGGGGAAAACTTACTTGAGCTCGGCCGGTCGCGCACATCACACACCTTGTTCTTTCTCAAATCTCTTTTAACTTATCTTTTAGAAAACCATTTTCTTGTAAAAAAATTTTTAATCCCTCGTTTGAGTCCAGACACACCCCGAGGGTGTGTCCGAATCCCTCAAACCAGGGCTCTGATACCAACTTGTAACATCCCATTTTTCGAGTCCAAAATTTGATTTTATATAAGACTTAGAAAACATTCATAAGAAATTATCATGAAGTCATATCATTTCGTAAAACCATATCTCATGTCTGAAAATCATATCGTAAAAGTAGTAACATGTCAGAGTACAATCCAAGAAATCTCATAATGCGGAATCCAATGTGTGTATGATGTGCAGCTACCGCGCCGGCTCCTTCCCCTTCGCTGAAGAGGTACCTGAAACAAAACTGAAAACTGTAAGCATGAAGCTTAGTGAGTTTCCCCCAACCGTACCACATACCATACAATCAAATAGCATACATACTGGCGGGCAATTCTGGGGTGCCCGACCTACCCGGTACGGCCATTCTGGGTGCCGACCTACTCGTGTCAAGCCATTCTGGGGTGCTGACCAACTACCCGCTTCCTAACAACCGACCCTCGGGACTATTCCACCCCCTACTGCTACTATCAATAACATATATCATAACATAAACATACTATCAGACATATCTGGGTGTCGAACTACCCTTCGGTCCTAACAACCGAACTTGGGGACTATTCCCTCCTACTACCACTATCACATATAATATCATCATGCCAGCATATAAACATATCATCACATACTGTCAGACATATCTGGGGTGCCTGACCTACCCTTCGGTCCTAACAACCAAACTCTAACTATCACATATAACATATCATGCCAGCATACAACATATCAGGTAGTAGCAAACCTAGATGATATCACAAAGACGATCATCTAACATACAACTCCTACTGGTGGGCCGGCATTGTGGCCGTAGACCCACCGCTACTGGAAGGTAACTCACCTCGTACGAGTAGCTGCTGAAAATCTGTGCGGGAAATCTCTGTCTGCTGCTGCTCCGGAAATCCTCCGGCTATAATCCCCACAAAACACTCAGTCAGAATCTGATATCTACTCTTAGGGTAAAATGACTATTTTACCCCTGACCAAGTCCAAGTCAAAGTCAAAGTCAAAGTCAACTTCCAGTTGACCTGACTCGCCGAGTTGGGCCGCCAACTCGTCGAGTCCCTAACCTTTTAACTGTCCTCATCCACGCTCTACTCGTCGAGTTTAGAAATGACTCAATGAGTTCTCCTTCTATAAGGCATCGAATGAACCTTCATCCGACTCGTCGAGTTCATCCTCATCCTAAGAACCAGTCCTGTCCTCGACTCGCCGAGTTGTATGAACAACTCGTCGAGTTCATCTTCAAGAGTTGGGAGATTGCCTTGGACTCGCCGAGTCTGTTCATGCACTCGCCGAGTCCTATGAACTCCAGGACTATGGCTTAGCCCAATACGTTGGGCCACTCCCCTGGACCCTCTAAAACCTTTCCAGCACTCCACTGGGTCTCTTTGACCCATAACAGAAAAGGGGAGTCTAACCTCGGACTCGCCGAGTCCCAAGAACGACTCGCCGAGTCGATACTGTCCAAGTCTATTTCCTTCGATTTTGGGCGTACAACTCTTGTCCAATGATAGATCTAGGTCCCTAAACTCGATCTAGCACGTAAAGTTACGAACTTTACGTGCATGCATGGGACTTGGAGCCTAAAAGGCTCTAAAAGAGACTCTTAAGTTGCATGGGGGCTTCCATGGGTGCAAAAGCAGCCCTTTTCTCTGCCTTGTAACTCCTTCATGGACCTAGATCTGAAGCCTCAACCCCCAACCATGCTTGCAATCATGGTTGGTCACCAAAATGGCTTATAAAAGCCCTAAATCTCCCCAAAAAGGGATCTAGCAAATGAAAAGCAAGGTACAGACTTTATACCTTCTGTGGAACTGCAAATGATGCACAAACTTGAACTCCTTGGTCTTCTCTTGATCCCTCTAGGCCCTTCCTTCTTCCTTGTGATCAAAATCACCAAAATCACCACAATGCCTTAGATCTTCATATACACAGTTAGGTTTGCTATGGGGGGTTTCTGGAAGCAATAAGGACGAAGGGTGGCTGAATGAGATGTTAAATAGGGTGCAAACCCTTAGATTAGGGTTTTGTCCAGTCAGAGTCTACTCGTCGAGTCTGGAGGCCGACTCGACGAGTCTGTCATTTAAATCTCGTATCCAATCCGCTTCTACTCGACGAGTTGGGCCTTCAACTCGCCGAGTCCCAGGCCAAAAATGCACAATATTTAAATAAAATACATACCAGGAAGCAGGTGCTACATAATTATAGTCAACGGGATTACTTAAGGGTACATTACTTAATACAAAAAAGGCTAACATAAACCATGCCCACCAACCCCTAACATTCTGCACCATAATCTACTCCAAAGAAACAGGGTCCAACCTACTTCGATCTGGTCCAACAACCTTCTTTCCAGCTACCTTCTTTCCAGTCTGATTTTTAGTAGTTCTCTCTGAAGGCCTCCCTTGTTCTCATCAACCTTTGATGGTGGTGTCTCAAGCAAGCCTTCTCATCATGTTTCTTTCTGAGTACAAAAACATCAACTTGAGGCACAAGTGGAACTTATCCAACCTGTGGAACTTCTTCAGGAACAGGTTGAACTTGTTCAAACTCTGGAACTTCTTCATGCACAGGTTCAAGAACGGGTGGAACTTCATCCAAAAATTCAACATCTAAATGTTGTTCATATAGTACATGATACACCTCATCCTCTGAGTATCCTGATGCAAACAAGTCTGTAGCATGTGCATCCCCCTTCAAATCCTGGACCAACATAACATCTTGTAGCCCTTCATCTTCAAAGTCCTTGCTACTACCTTCATGTATCCCTTTAATAACCAATTGAGATGCCTTTGCTTTACCCTGTTAATAAACAGTAATTGTGTAACAATAGTAGACACTAAATATTTGATAAAATAGTAAAGCGTACCTTTTTTTGACTATTACACCTTGCATGTCCACCTTTCATGTTTCCCCTCCATTTCCATTTGTCCGTGTGTGTCGTTGACTGTTTTGACTATTTTGACTCTTTTGACTTGTGGATGTTGTTGTTTTTTTCATTGCCACATCCCTAGTCAGTGGCCTACCCTTTCTTTTCTTTTCCTTTGGAGGTTAGGGATTACTTGGATTCTTGCAGGTTCTTTTGTCATGCCCTTCCTCCCAACAGTTCTGGCATATCTCTGTTCCTCCAACAGACTTTATCTTCTTGTATTCTCCATCCTTCTCTGTGACATGTTTCCTTCTTCTGGTTTTGGGTCTTCCTGGAATCCTCCTTGCAGGTGGTGGTAGTGGTTTGGCATATGGTGTCCTAGCCTACATTTTACTACAATTTAGAGGCCTCATATTGCCTTTGTAAGCCTTTGCAAACTTCTCTTTGGTAAACCATGAACTTATCAGTGTTTCAGGTTGTTGTGTGTGGTTCATAGCTGCACATGCACGGACACATGGAATCCCAGATATTTCCCACATTCTACAAGTGCAGAATTGTTCTCCTAAGTCCACCTGGAAAGACTCAAATCCTAGTCTCACTTCAAATACATTTGTGTCACTAGCTACAACACTCCACAAGCAGCTTAATAAACCACTCCCAGTTGTCCTTGTTTTCAACATCAATCACAACCCAGGCTATTGGGTATACCTGGTTGTTCCATCCCTACCTATTGCAGTGAGTAGCTCCCCTTTGCATTGCCCTTTTAGAAAACAACCATCTAGTCCAATGACTCTCCTGCAACCCCTAATCCACCCATCCTTTATAGCCTTAAAACATACATAGAATCTTTTCAAAACACTGCTACCATCTTCTTTGATATCAACTCCAACCTTTGTTGTACTACCAGGGTTTGATCTGATGATCTCTCCTTCATATTCCCATATACGAGCATAATGCTCTGATAACTTTCCAGTTAAAATCTCTAGTGCTTTCTTCTTAGCCCTATAGCATTGTCTCTTAGACACAATGCATAAAAATTTCTTCTTTCATCTCCTTAGCTTTGATTTTTGGTCTAACACACAATTTTTTCAAGAAATGTTTGGCTATCCAGTCAGGATTAACCAATGTGGCATGCTTGTACTCCCTAACACAAGTATGCTTATTAGAAAGTCCCTTAATTTGAAATGATTTCTCTTTGTTCATCCAGGATGCCCACAGCTTGAAGGTACATCTCTTGCCTTTATTGTCTAAACCACATTTTGCTTGAAGCCTTGTACTAGAAGATTTAGTCACCTTAATTGGATATCCATTGTGAACTGCATAGTTAGTCAGGCAGAACCTTAACTCAATTTGATTCGCATACTTTTCACCTAAATGTGGTTTCATTTTCTTCCAATGAATAGAAGGGTCATGAACACTAAATTTTGGTTGGATCTTCATCAACCTCATCCTCATCATCTTCAATTTCATTATCAGACTGACCTTCTTCTCTAATGGCTTCATCATCGACATTTTCTCTCTTATTGTAAATAGGAACATTGCAGAAATCATAAAGGAAGGCATCAAAAGGTACCTTCAACTGTGGAAAAGTCATGTGTTCATCTGCATCACATTCACCCAATTCTTCATCGACAACAAGTGCCCCTTCTGATTCGCTCTCCGATTCTGACTCTAATTCACTTTCTTCAAAATCGGAGTCGTAATATGGTCCCTTTTCCATTTCATCGGACGGTTGTGCTCTCCTTATCTTAGGTCGTGGTTTCCTCATCGTAAGCTTTCACCTTTCTTCGAAATTACAGAGGGTAGAAACCCTAGTTAATTAGGGTAGAAACTTTTTTCCGTTTTTTTGCATGACAAGGATTTTAGTAGGATGATAAATGAGGGGATGACATGTTAAATAAGGGGAAAGGGGATGACATGGACGATGCCACGAAGAGGTATTAGGGGCAGGTAACCGGTTAACCAATTGTAATAGGTCATATGGTTACATTTAGTAAAAAAACAATAACACAATGTCAAAATTGACACAAAAAAAAACACGGTGTCAAATTCGAATTTCTGTGTAAACTGAGTGTCTTTTGTGATATTTACCCTTATAGATGCACCTAATTAGACCATTTGGTCTATAATTGCGAAGGGAAATTGTTGAAATATCACTTTGTATCTTCAAACTTATCATTGGTTATAGTATTTCTTATGTGGTATATTTGTTGTTATCTCTTATAATTTAAGGGTATCATGGTGAATATTCTTGGGAGCTTAAATATAACAATTTGTCAATTTTGGTAAGGAGGGGCTGAAGCTTGAATGTACTACCTTGTTGTTAAAGTGGACGGCGGTCGTGTCTATTAAGATGTGTTTGGACACACACGTTTTATCCACTTTATAAATGGGTGGATATTACTTGGATCCTAGAGATTTGCATCGGTTTTCTATCCGATATACTCATATATATATATATATATATATATATATATATATATATATATATATATATATATATGAGGTCCAATAAAGAACCATTATTTTTTTTAGAACAACATCATATTAAAAAACCGAACCTCTAGCAAGGAGCTAGAGAAAAATACAAATTAAGGCCAAATTGGATTTTGTAACCACATCATCCAATTAACCCTAGCCTTAGAATTCCGAAAAGAAAACCATCGAAAGGAAAGATCCACAATAGAATCAAAAAGTCTTATCTTTTCTAGGTTTATTGTTGCTAAAAAGTAAATAATTACGAAACGTCCAAAACACCCATATGACCACCATGAACACCGGCTCTACAATCGAGCGCTCCATATGAACCGTCGGTCTAGAATTCACCCAATCCACCACTTCACGGATAAAATAAAAGGCAGGAAGGTCCAAGTGAAGCCAATGCCCAACCCGACTCCAAACCTGACCAGCAACCGAACACTACAACAACAGATGATTCACACTTTCCTGAGAATTACGACACACATCACAATAAGGAATCTAACGCCACCCCCTTTCCACCAATTTAACTCTAACCGTAATGCGATCCAAAAGCACACGCCATAAAAAAATATTAATTTTAATAGGGACAAAACGGTTCCACCTAGTAGGTGTACTACCCAAAGGGAGGGTCGTATCATCAACCCAGTTCCTTGTTGATTTAACAGTAAATATACCCGACGGATCAAGCTCCCAAGACCACTTATCCGGCACCTCCCTTATACAAATAGGATTTAAAATCTCCACAAGATCACCAAATTGGGTCAATTCAGCCCTTCCTCTAATCCCCCGACACTAATGGAAGTTTCAACCCCCCGGAGACCAATAATCACTAACTCGAGCATCTTGATTAAAAGCCAAAGCAAAGAGTCACCCAAACCGCTCCATAAGAGAAATATCTGAGCACCAAACATCCTTCCAGAACCTCGTTTGAGCCCCATCCCCCACTACTCTATGCAATGAATTAGAAGGAATACAACCACTCTCATGAAGATGATTAATGGATCCTACAATCTTTTGCCTAACACCCCCTCCACTTCCTATTCTCGGCTCATCCAATAAACCACCACCTTCCCCATGACAAAATTTGACAATTTTAACCCAAAGAGCTACCTTGTCATTAAAAAAACCACCACTTCCATTTATATAGAAGGCCTAGGTTAAAAACATCCAAACTACCAACCCCAAGACCTCCATGAGCATATGCGTTCAAGATCAAATTCCAATTAACCCAATGATTACGATGTTGACCCTCATCAACACCTCAAAAAAACTGAGCCCTCAAGGCCTCTAGAGAATGACAAACAGTGATAGGAAGACGAAACAGAGAGAAAAAATAAATACTCAAACTCCCTAGAACCGATTTTATAAGGGTCAGACGACCTCCAATAGACAACAACTTGACCTTCCAAGAAGATAACCTCTTCTTAAAATGGTCGATGATAATATGCCAACCTATAACACGAACCATAGATTTTCTAACCGAGATACCAAGATAGACAAAGGGAAGAGTTTCAGCCGAACAACAGATAAAAGAAGCTAAGCTAGCAATCTCCACCGGGTTAACCCCCACCCCATAGAGATTTGACTTAGTAAGATTGAGATTAAGGCCCGACACCAAATAAAAACATCTCTATATACGAATTAAATTCCGAACATTAGAGGCATCCCACCCCCCTAGGAAAATATCATCATCTGCATAAAACAAATGAGATATGAGAACCTCATCAGAACCCATCGAAGCACCCCGGAACACCCCTTCAGCAAGCGCATCTTCTAAGGCAATATGAAGCCCTTCCATAGCTATAATGAATAAAAAAGGAGAAAGAGGATCTCCTTGTCTAAGACCTCTGAAAAGTTGAAACTCATCAGTAGGGCTCCCATTAATCAACACCGAAGATCTAGCATTAGAGCACATGCCACGGATCCAAGCTCTCAATTTCTCACCAAAACTGAGAAACCCCAAGACCTTATCCAAATACTCCCAGCTCACAGAATCATAAGCTTTTTCAAAATCAACTTTAAACATCGTAAAGCTTTTTCTTATTCTTTTTAAACCACCTCACCAGCTCATTAACCATCAACGGGCCATCAAGAATTTGGCGGGACTTAAGGAAAGCCGACTGCAACAACCCAATAACGTCATGAAGAACAGGTGCCAACCTATTAGTCAACAATTTTGCAATAATCTTACATTGCAACCCAATAAGACTAATAGGACGATAATCCTTGATACAAAGCGGATTATCGGATTTGGGAATCAAAGTAATAAACGACGAGTTACACCCCTTCGGGAAAACATGTTTGGCAAGAAAACTCTTGCAAAAAAGCAATAACATCGTCCGCAAGAATCTCCCAAAATGTCTAAGAAAAGGGAAGTTAACACCATCCGGACTAGGGGCACGATCCACAACACAATCCCAAACAACATTTTTAATGTCTTCAGCCGTGAACCCCGCCTCAATAGAAGAAGCAACCCTCGGATCAAAAGAGTTGAATCTAGGGCTGCGACGATCCAAATTAACACCAAGAAAAGGCTGAAACTTAGCTGCATAAAAATCAAAAAAGCCTGTTTAATACTAGTAGGATCCGAGATCCACTCCCCATTAATAGTAACCCCTCTAATCATCAACTGCCTTCTATGTTTTTTCAATAAAGCATGAAAGAACTCAAAATTCTTACCCCCCCCTCCACAGCCCAAGTAGATCTAGCCTTTTGAGCTACATCCAGAGATCTGACTTTTTCTAAATTCACCAAGTCTCCAAGAATTCCTCTTGTTTCTCGAATAATGTCATCACTAGATTTATCATCATCAATATAGTTGTCAATCTCTACAATTCGGCCCAACAACTGAGAAGAAGAGATTTGCACAACCGACTTAGCCTCCGCATTCCAAGACCAAATCCTAGCTTTAATAAACTTGAGCTTGTTTTTGAAAATGACAAACTTACTCTAAGCTGGATTACTAACAAAATCAGCCACAACTACTTTAACCACATCTTCAAAACCCTCCAAAGAAAGCCAAGAATTGAAGAATTTAAAAGGAGAAGGCCCAAAGCCAACCGTATTCGAATGAAGCAAAATAGGGCAATGATCCGACCATTTCATATCCAACACCGAGACCTGAAGTTGATCAAAACAATCCGAAACTGTATCCGAGACCAAGAACTGATCAAGCTTGCTAAGTTTAGCACCTATGGCATCAAATCTAGTAAACCGCTTTCCAACCATAGACACATCAATAAGACTAGCATCTTCAATGAAATCGTTAAAAGACTGAGCGGCAATAGAACAGAAAACAGAACATAACCTTTTACCCGCCTCCCTGACAACATTGAAATCACCAAAAAAGACATAATTACCCCCATTACTTCTCATGAAAGCCGAGAGATACCCCCAAAGATGTTGTTTTCCCACTAAATCTTGAGGAGCATAAATATTAACCATAAAACAATTAATATTAAACGGAATCCACAAGCCTCCCACAATAACCACATTACTAGTACAAGTAACACTACTTTTAATAAACACATTCGGGTCCCACACCGAAAGAATACCACCCGATCGACCCTGAGCACTACTACTAGCAAAATCGAAGCTATAGCTACCCCCACATACTTCAGATCTTGAACAAATCAACTTGAGTCATTCTCGTTTCTTACAAACCCAAAAAAAGAAACTACAAACTGCAAACAAAGCGCCTTAACCCAACTTCTTTTTAAAAAATAACGGGTACCACATATATTCAACGAAAGACACTTCATTCATCCACCTGTACCACACCAATACTAGATAAAATCTTTAACCTGTTCCTTATTAGACTCCATATCATACCCAAGAAGACAACCTATTTCAAAATATTGCTTCAACACGTCTTCTATATCATCAACAACTACCGGGACTTTCTTTTTAAGTATCTTAGAAGATCCATGAGAAGTAGAAGATTGATCTCATCTAAAACCGGGAGGTTGTAATGGTGATTCGGATGCCCCCTCCCCCTCCACATCAACCACCAAATGGGGTGGATCACCCTGCAGCTCACACTCAGCCACCCTAACCGGAGAAGGCACAACTGGATTACATTGATTTTCGGCGACACCTCTCGTGACAACAACTTTTGGCGGAGAAAGACCCCCTTCCATAGCTCCATTACCTTTTCTTTTATTAGTAGTCTGAAAAAATCTTCCCTTTCTACCAACAAACCCAACTCCTCTACCACCATTAATAGGTGTATTATCCATGCTAAAAGATTTCTCTTGCCCCTCATCAACCTTATCACCATTATCTACATCAATAATATCATTCACATCATCATCAAAATAAGCATCTTCTCTCCCCCCCCCCCATGACAGATCCGAAATATCTGAACCTATTTCTCGCTCCTCCATAATATCCGGTTCCCAATTTGAAATTTCACGCACCACCATCCCATATTCAACGCCTTGAACAACCACTTTAATCATATCATGAATCAAATAAGGTTTCCCTCTTAATATACACACGTTTAACCGCCAAAGGGGCATCTCCATCCTCTTCAATAAAACAAACCTCAACCCACATAGTAGCTAGCTTTTTTAACCGCAACATCATTCCAAGCACAACATGGTAAACCCACCAACTCTAACCAAATAGCACGCTTTTTAACAAAAAAAATCATTAACAACAAGTCTAAAGACTGAGAAATAAGCCTTAATCGCCTCAGATTTCTTAAACCGTGTACAAGCAACCTCCGATACAAAAGAAATATAGACCCAATCACTAGCAACATACTTAATTACAATTTCCGAAAAACCTTATTCTTTCAAGAGAATACACAACTTTGGGATCAATCTAATGTCTCGTAGCTTACCAAAAACATATGCTTTCATGGACAATGGATTATCAATATCCTTTCCCTATAAAATACACACTGGAACCGAGCATTTCTTGTTTTTCACACCCCCGTCACCCTTTACTACATTTGCATAAGAACTAGTCTGTGCATCAGCATGCAATTTCGACCGAAGCACTTGCTCAACAGAATTAGGAGTAATAACCTTCCTCTTAACATTCGAGCCTCCCTTATTACTAACATCCCGACTAAACCGAGCCACAAAAGCAAACAAATGATATGATCCCATCCAAATCTCCCTAAGTTTTCTTTTCAACACTGGTTCATCTTTAACTTTAAGAAAATGTACAAAGGCGATATCTCTTACCAAATTTTGATAATTTCCGAGCCACATAAACATCAGCCACCTTCCCAACCTTATCACAGACCTTCCATAACGACTTGACATCTGCGTCTAGAGAAAAATTAGTCACATAGAATGGCGTAGAAACACTATCGACCATTCTCTAATTCATTGAAACAGGGCATGATCAATAAACCTACTCATTACCAACCATCAAGAACAACAAGAAGATCAGAAGAAGCCGACGACATTTGATCCCGCCGGAAACGACGACGAAGGCCTCCGAGATCGCCGGAGGACGCAAGGGTTACTTCTTCTGATTGACGCCTGTAGACGATTTCGGTAGAAAGAATAGGCTTGAGTTTGAGTTTGTAGGTTTACGAATTAATCTATATTAGGTTATAATAATAGAAAATCACTGGTATGGTGGAAGATTTCAATAAAGAACCATTATTAACCATTGAATCAGGAAACCAATCCTTTTTTTCAACTTTTAGAGATTATTTTTTATCAAAAAAAAATATATTCATAACTTTTTATAATTTTTCGAATGATATTAAATCCGATAAAGAAGTTTTAGTTTTTTTTGACAAATTTACACTGTGAATCTGTGCAGATTCACAATGTGAATCTAAATTTACACGGTGAATCCAAAAAATATATAATTTATTTTTTAGCATTCACAATGTGAAGTTAATAATTTAGAAATTTTTAGTTTTTTTTTCGATAAACAATAAGTTCTAAAACTTGAAAAAAAAATTGGTTCCTTGGAGAACCAATAGTTTTGGTTTCTCTATTGAACTTTTTTTTTCTCTCTCTACATATATATATATATATATAGTTGTGTTGTTCCATCAAAATACACATTAATACAACACACACTACTCTCGGTTTCTCTATAGCTCTAGTTTTAGTTGTTCTTCATCTAGGGTTTCTAGGGCTGAGTTTACTCTATATAATTTGTTCTATTATTTTAGGATAGATGAATATATATTAGTAGAGTGTTTTATAATGAGGATTATTTGTAAAGAGTGAAAGTGTTATGTAGTGATGTTGTCTATGTAAGTATCGTTAAAATGAGCCGGTTCTTTGTGTTAATAAAGATAGATATTGATGTTGTATATTGTTTTTGGTCTTTTTAGTTGGTATCAGAGCTAGATTTGGCTCATTTTTTTATGTTCGTTTCATGGTTCGTCTTCATCGAAAATTTGAATTTCATTTTGCCTAGTTTCCTTCTATTTTTTTAGTTCTAGTGTTTCAAGTTGTGTCTAGATCTTGTGTCTAATGATTCTTCTTGATTTTCATTGTTTGTGTTTCATCTTGGTGTCAGATCTAGGGTTTTCTCTTTTTTTGTTGGTCATCGGTGTTGTTATCTCCGGTAGTTATCTCGTCACATTTTTAAATTTAAATGACCAGATTAGTTGTAAATATTAGTGTTAATGATTTGTTAATCCTAACGGCTAACGTTTCTTTGACCGTTTAATGTTAAAAGACGTGAAAACAAGCAACTATTAACCGAGACAACTCATGGCATTTGAATGCCTTTGGTGTTGTTCGGTGTTAGATCTGGTTTGGTTAACTAGATCTAACAAAAATATGTTGCTACTTGTTGAACTTGTTTTTTGGAATCACTTTAAGTCTTCTGATTATCTCTAATTTTATCTGTTTGAGTTCTTCTTGGGATATTAGTGTGCTTTTTGGCTGGTTCTTGTTTTGTGTATTTGCTATCTGCTGATATTTGGTATCCATATTTATCACTCACTTTGCTCTGGTCGGATATGAATATGAATCAATGTTGAGTTATAGTGTTTCATGGATTTATGATATTAGGCTAACAAATTCCAAATATTTCTGATTGTTGTTGTCTTTTTTGTGTGATCAGTCTTATGTGTTCTTGTTGATTAATAAGATTGGTACACCTAATCCTACTGAGTCATCTCATAAAATGACTATATAGATTTTGATGATCCCATATACTTACATCTTTATGATAATATTGTAACTACTATCATTAATTTCAAGCTTCTTGGAATCGAGAATTTTAGAATTTAGAAGATTTCTATGACCAGGGCTAAAAGATCGAAATAAAATTGGTATTGTAGATGGTTCTGTTATTAAAGACATGATTGATTTTGTTAAATATCTTAAATAGACATAATTAATGTTTTTGTTTGTTCTTAGATTCTTAATTCTATATCTAAGTCTATTTATGCTGGACATGGCTTAACTAATTATTTTGAGTTTGTATGTGATGTTGCTACATAGATTAATAGTCATTCTAAACTCATGAAATTAATGCAATTCTTAAGTGGTCTTGATGATTCATTTAATAAGGTTATAGTCATATTTTGATTATGGAACCTTTACCTAATGTCAAAAGTGCTTTTTCTATAGTACCTAGAGAAGAGTCAAACAAAAAGCGTGGGCCTATCTTTAGTGTTTTAAATAAAAGTCAATCCTCTACTTTTATTGAAAAAGTTAATGATTTTAAAAAGTTTAAAGGAAGAAATCAAAACCTTCAGTGTGCCATTGTGGTCTTAAGGTTCACACTATTGAAAAATGTTACAAACTTATTGAAAAATCTTCCTCAATTGTTCCAATTATAGCTTCTCATGTCAGTGATGTGTCCAGTTCTTCATCTACCCTTATTTATAAGATGTATCGATATTTTCTTACAAGTGAACAATATTCTAAAGTCCTTTCTCTTCTTAATGACATAAACTTTTCTGGGGAGTGGGAGATACTCTCCTTTAAAGGAAAAACAATTCATTAGAGTTGAATGCGGCTATGGGATAACAACTATTATACTACATGAAGACAATAGAAACAATGTACTTTTGTGGTGTATTGTGAATGTTTCTATTGGAATAGAGTTTTCAGTGTGTTTAGTAGATGTTTATGCATGCATGAACAACTTATAACAATGTACATTTGTGGTTATTGCAAAATTTGCTATTAGAGGGCTATATGTTCGATTAGAAAAACAGGGTCTATGAAGTCTTGCCATTTCTTTTGTTTTCAAACATTTAAATATTTTATTTTCATTAATTCTCCAAGCCATTGAAATGTTAAGTTTATTATTAAAATTATGTACTTATCAATTTTCCTCATTTACCTACAAAAGGCCTAAAACTTCTCAAAGAAAGTATAACACTTAAAATTGACATAGTTAAGGGCCATACATTTTTAGTTCAAGTTATATGAGAAAAAATAATCTAAAAAATCTTATGGACTTTCACATATGTTCTCTACGGATCCTAATGACATTATTCCTTGTTGGTGGCTTGGGTGATTTTTCACCATGGGTGATGCTGCAATCTTATGCAATTGTTAATGAAAAACTCATTATATGTTTGTCTTTGAGGTTTCCCGTTCAAGAAAAACTTTTTAATTTTTTTCCATTAATTAATGATTTTAAGTTTCCAAGTTTGATACTTGTCTAATAACTCAAATATTATAGATGATTGATGATGTTTAATAATTAAGTTAAGGTTGTAAGAATAAACCTTATTTATGCAATGTGATTCTTTGAATTGGATTGAAAATTTTATGAATTATATTTTTCAAGGCGTGAGTACATTGCTATTATAGGTAAATATAAACTACATTGCTATTATCGGTAAAAAAATATCAGATACTTTATTATAATGGGTAAAAAGTATATTATACAAATTGAAAACTATACTTGGTATGACTTTGTATCCAACCACTCTTTAGTCTTTTACGAGAGTACTCGAAATATTTTTTTGAAAACTTTTTATAGCAAGATCCTGTAAATAAAATGATGAAAAAACTTATAAAAGTTAATTACAATATATCTTTAAAAATTTTAGTTTACATAATATGTATTTGTCTAATGTTATCTTAATAAGAGAAGTTAGTAGAGTCACACATTCATTTACGTTATTTCACTTTGTCATCCATGTAATACACCAATTATTATGTAGTATTTTTGTGTGTGTGTGTGTATGTGTGTTTATACATACATACTATATAATATATATATATATATATATATATATATATATCTATATATATATATATATATATATATATATATATATATATATATATATATATATATATAGAGAGAGAGAGAGAGAGATAGAGAAAGTGTGTGAGAGAGAGAGAGGGAGAGAGAGAGAGAGAGAGAGGATGGTTCTATGTAGATTATGAAAAATAAAGATCTTAAGATTCAACCTCAGCCATATATTTCTTATATGTTGCTCTAAAGCTTCAGCGTACCGGCGCAACGATATATGCCTAATCATAAATGATTATATGGTGGAGAGATATAATGATATATTGTTATACATATATGCATAATATTTAATAATTGTACATATATGTCTCTTCACAAAGTGATTAATCATATATGAATACTGTGGTTGGTGGTAGAGGCAGAGGTGATAGTGGTAGAGGTAACAGAAGTGACAATGGTGGATGGGTTGGTGGCTTATGTGGTGGTGGCGGTGACGGTGTGATGGTGGGGGAGCCGATGGGAGAAAAAGGAATGGGCGGTGTTGCATAATCATTTATGAAAATAAATCTCCCATCGTGTTGATATACCGGAGAGTTAGTGCAAAAAATGAGAAATATGTGGCTGAGGTTGAATCTCAAGATCTTTATTTTTTCCGAATCTCAATGGAACCTCTCTCTCTCTCTCACTTATATATATATATATATATATATATATATATATATATATATATATATACACACACACACACATTCAATTCTCCAAAGAATTACATCCACCTCCCCATTACTATCTTATATTAGATGGATTACTATCTTCCTTGCCCTTTCTCCACCACCTTCTCAACCAATCCAACATCCAACTGTAATATGATAATGATCGGAGTTATAATCTTCATAATCTAATTTTCACTTGTGCAAAGGTCAAACACAACATATCCTATGTTTAACAATGATTACTGTTAGGAATTAAAGCGAATAACTGGAAAAACAAAAAATCACACAAGAGATATCATTTATGTGGTTCGGTCAAGGTGACTTACGTCCATGGGCATGAAGGGGGTATTCTTTATTTATGAGGTCTCAAACAGCGGTTACAATTACAATTTCATAGAGATTCGCCTATC